GAAGCACTGAACACATCCAATTTCAGAGTCATCTACTGAATGAAAGTCAGGTACTGTTCTTGAAGACTGCCAAGGAGGTTACACACAAAGACTGAGAGACTGTGACACACTGAGAGACTAGTAATACATGACAACTAAAACACAGATATCGTTAGGACATCTGGGGGATTTTGCATAGGGTCTGTTGAGCTGTTTTTGTATTGCCAGAAGTTTTCAACTGCTATGTAAGCACTAACAAGTGTTGTTGCTAGATCTTCTGGGAGGAGTGTGTTTAGTTTTTTTGTTTAAAGATTTATTTATTTATTTGAAAGGAAGAGTTGCAGAGAGAGAGAGGGAGAGACAGATCTTCCATCTGCTGGTTCACTCCCCAAAGGGCCACAATGGCCAGGGCAGGGCTAGGCTGAAGCCAGGAGCCAGGAGCCTCCTCCAGGCCTCCTTCCCAGGCACATTGCAGAGAGCTGGATTGGATGTGGAGCAACCAAGACTCAAACTGGTGCCCATATTGGATACTGGTGCTGTAAGCCCTGGTTTAACCCACTGTGCCACAGTGCTGGCCCCAGAGTATGTTTAGTATTTTAAGAAACCTCCAAACTGCATTCCAAAGTGGCTGTACCATTTTGCATTCCTGCTAGCAAATGAGAGTTCCTATTGTTCCGTATTCTTGTCTGCATTGAGTGTTGTCATCATTCCACATTTTGGCCATTCTCGTAGATCTAGTGGTATGTCATTGTTTCATTTATTCTGTGGACATATAGTGTGGAACATCTTTTTATATATTTATTTGCCATCTATATATCTTTTTTGATATGTTATCTGATTAGACTTGGCCCATTTTTTAATCAGGTTATATTTTAAATCAGTTTTCTTATTGTTGAGTTTTAATTTTCTTTAAGGTTTATTTATTTATTTGAAAGGCAGAATGACAGAGAGAGAGGGAGAGACAGAGATTTCCATCTACTGGTTCACTTCCCAAATGATCACAATGACTGGGGCTGGCCCAAGCCGGGAACCAGGAACTCCATCCTGGTTTCCCATGTAGGTGCCAGGGGCCCAAACACTTGCACCATCCTCTGCTGCCTTGCCAGATGCATTAACAGGGAGCTGGATTGAAGCAGAGCAGATGAAACTTGAACCAACACTCTCATATGGGATGTCAGCATCATAAGTGGCAGCCAAGTTTTAGGAATCTTTGATATTATGGATAACAGGCCTTTCTTAGATGTGTCTTTTACATTTTATTTTCTCCCAGTCTATGGCTTATCTTCCTATTATCTTGATGGTAATGATCTAGAGCAAAAGTTTTTACTTTTAATAAAGTCCAGCTGCTCGGTTTTCTCTTTCATAAATCATGCACATATCTTTGGTGTTGTATTTTTAAAAAGTCATTACCATACCAGAGTCATTGAGGTTTTATTGTAGTTTAGAAACTGTCTTATAGATTTGGGTTTTACAGTCAGGTCTGTGATCCACATTGGGATAATTTCTACAAAGGGGTAAAATCTGTGTCTAGATCAAGGTTTTTTGTTTTTGTTTTTGTATGTGAATGTCCAGTTATTACAGAAATGTGTCTTCCAGCATTGTATGGCTTTCACTTCTTCTTCAGAGTTCAGTTGACTGTATTTATGGGGTCTGTTTCTGGGCTCTGTGTTCTGTTCCATTGATGACTTTTGTCCTTTCACCAATACCATGCTGTCTTGAATATGTAGATTTATTGTAAGTGTTGAAATCAGATGGTGTTAGTCCTCCAGCTTTGTTCTTGTCCTTTTATATTCTAATTCCTATTCTGGGTCTTGCTTCTCCATTTAAACTCTAGAATAATTTGATACCCAAGAAAGATTAAATTGTATTGAATCTACAGATCAAGTTGGGAAGAACTGACATCTTGACAATATTTAGTTTTCCTAACTGTGAACATGGAATATATCCATTTATTTAGTTCTTTCATTCACCAGAATTTTTAGTTTTCTTCATCTTGATTTTGTCCATATTAGATTTATACTAAAGTATTTCCTTTTTAGAGGGTGCTAATGTAAATGATACATGGCTGAAGAGCCCGTGAGAGTATTTTAGGCAAGGACCTAAATGAAAAAATGAAAGATCTCTGCGAGTGAGATTCCAGTAGAAAGAACGGGCCATCAAAGAAGGAGGTACCTTTCTCTGAAGGGAGGAGAGAACTTCCACTTTGACTATGGCCTTGTCGAAATAAGATCAAAGTCGGCAAGCTCAGGGGACTTCCATGGCCTTGGCAACTCATGACTTGAGCCTGGGGAGATTGCTGATGCCTTAAACAAGAGTGTCAATTTGTTAAGTCAACAACAGGAGTCACTGTGCACTTACTCCCCATGTAGGATCTCTGTCCTTAATGTGTAGTTCGACATGAATTAATGCTATTACTAGTGCTCAAACAGTATTTTGCACTTTGTGTTCTGTGTGGGGGCAAACTGATGAAATCTTTACTTAATATATACTAAATTGATCTTCTGTATATAAAGATAATTGAAAATGAATCTTGATGTGAATGGAATGAGAGAGGGATCGGGAGATGGGAGGGTTGCGGGTGGGAGGGAAGTTATGGGGGGGGGGCATCCATTGTAATCCATAAACTGTACTTTGGAAATTTATACCTACTAAATAAAAGTTTAAAAAAAAAAAACTTAAGGAATATGCCATCAAACGGCCTAGCCAGGCCCTTCCTAAGGCATTTCTTCAGGTCAATTCGAAGTCCTGTTAGCCCCAACTCTGTCTAGACCCATTTTTAATCAGTTAGTGGTTTATGCCTTTGCTATATATCAAATTAATGAATTCCCATTTAATACCCAACTAAATTTGCCCCATCATGTTTCAAAGAATGCTGTGTAGAAGTTTGAGCAGCTTTTTGAATTTTTGTGTGCCAGTGAAAAGAGAAAGTGTAAAACTGAAAACATGAATGAGTAGAAAATCAGTGTCTTCATGGGCAGGGAAGTTTCCTGTGGACGTGGAGAGGAGCCCTGCTCCCCAGCATGCCGCTGTGGGGCTGTCTACCATGTGCTCCTGCGTGCAGGAGGACTGTGACGTGCCTGAGAGAAAGTCCATGTGTCAGGTAGGCTTCTGGGAAGCACAGGTTACAGCGCTGTGGCTATGAGTTCCATGTTGAAGAATTAAATATATGTTAGATAGGTGTCTTTAAACAGAAGCATGCATAAAATAAGGTTATGTGTTGATCAATTAAAGAAAATGTTTTAGGGGCTCACGGGGGCTAATATGTAACCCTATATATTCCCCTGCAGCAATGCTTCAATATGTATTTTTTTTTAAAGATTTTTATTTATTTATTTGACAGGTAGAGTTTGAGATAGAGAGGTCTTCCATCCGTTGGTTCACTCCCCAAATGGCTGCAGTGGCCAGAGCTGGGCCTCTTCCAGGTCTCCCATGCGGGTGCAGGGGCCCAAGCACTTGGGCCATCTTCTGCTTTCTCAGGCCATAGCAGAGAGCTGGATTGAAAGAGGAGCAGCTGGGACATGAACCGGTGTCCATATGGGTTGCCAGCACTGCAGGCAGAGGATTAACCCACTGCGCAACAGTGCTGGCCCCTTCAGTACTTATTAACTCAGTATTCACAGCAACATTATTGAAAACAACTTATCATGAGTAACAAGAATTGAATGTTCAGGATAAATAGAATATTCAGAAGACTTTACCTCTGGTCTATATAATATGAAGCAGTAAAGTATTTTTTAAATATAGTTATGTATTCCTTGCTAAAATAAACCTTACTGTTTAATATCCCTCATTCAGTTTTATCTGATTACTAACTTTATAGTTCTAAAGATAGAAATATATTTTACTAAGTATCATAAATAAATCATATATGAATATACTCACTAGTATTTGTCTTAAAGAATCCTGACTTTCTTAAATGTATAATGTCTGTGGCAACTCTGCTGGCTTTCAGAATCTAATAGACTTATTATGAACAGCTCTGGATGTGAATTGACTTGAGTGAGGAATATCTTACTAGACTCAAATGGATGAATTAGCTAATTGCATTTATCATGTGAAGGGATATGTGAAAAGAGAAGGAGGAGACTCAACTTGATTCAGAAGCAAAATGAGAAGAAAAGATAATTGGCATATTCTACACATTTTTCTTCCAATCACCAAGTATTAGAGAAAACAAATTGGAGACTTGTCTTTGAACAAGAAGCAGATGTGCTAATCATATTCTTCATATTTTTTTAACCTGCTGTATCTTTAGATGCTGATTTTTGTCTAGAGCAAGGTGTTGGGGCTACTAAAATGGAATTTATAACTTCAACTTTTGTTTAAAATCTCTTTGATGCCTGGCACATTTCACTGTATTAATGCCAGGAAATAAATGTTTTCTCCTCTCTTCTTTAAATAAGCGGTTGTTCTTTTGATGCAGGGTCACTTCTAATTTTGATTTTTGGGAAATGAGAGGAAAAATGTATTCTTTGAGACCAGTTGTTGGCTACGCCAGGCTTTGGAGCTTCCTCATTGCCTTTACTCAGCAACTATATGGGAAAATGTTTGTAAACTGTAAAGCAATGCATTAATAGTAATTGTTCTTCCTCCTTGTTAAACAAATTTAATTTTTTTAAAAAAAGCATTATTTAGTACAAATGTCCCTTCCACCCAAAATCCCTACTAATGGTTATTTGGCCTTTGGGTACTTATTTTGCACGTTATAATCTTACAAAGTGATTTCCATCAGGTGTCTCAAAAGAACTCCAAGAAGTTGATGAGCATCATAGTCTCATAGATGGGAAAACTGAAGCACAGAGAAGCTCTGAACTTTGCTTCCTGGCTAGAATATTCAGCCTCTGCTTTCTTGGTGTGCTTCATGGGTTGTTTTTCCTTTTCTTTTCTTTTTTTTTGTTTTTTTTTGTTTTTTTTGTTTGTTTGTTTTTGTTTTTGTTTTGTTTTCCTTTTGTAAATATCCCTGCCTTACTGTTGTCCAGAATGATTTGTATTTTGCAACATCTCATGTTTTTCCCCTGCAGAGATATTCCGATGCCCTTAGTCAGCTCAGGAGTAGAGCATGGCAATTTGAGAGAGCTGGCATTTGCAAGAATGAAAGACCTTGGAATACAGGTAAGAGTGAATAGGCCTGTCAGGATGAAAGTGAACTGAAACACAGAAGCCTTTGGTACTGCCACACTTACAGACTGATCTCACAAGTCAAGTTAAAAAGCTTTCATCTGTTGAGGGCGTTCTCTGTAATGTGTTGAAGATGAAGCTAGTGGTAGCAAGGCTGCATCCTACCCTTTTCTCTCTTGCTGCTTTCAACCAAAGGGTAGAGGTCTTTCGATTTGTATTTTAAAGGCAGAGAGACAGGGAAGGAGAGGAGAGATTTCCCATCCACTGGTTCATTTCCCAAGTGCCTGTGACAGCCAGGGCAAAACCAGAAGCTAGGAATTCAATCCAGGTCTCCCGCATAAGTGGCAAGGACTCAACTACATGAACAATCACCTGCTGCCTCCCAGGGTGTTTGTTAGCAGGAAGCTAGAATGGAGAGCAGGGTCTGGCACTCCAGTGTGAGACCCAAGGGTCCCAGTGACTGCTTAATCAAGGCATCAAACACCCACTTTGTCCTTTGAATTTAATGATTGTTGTTTCTCCCTACTCAGATTGCCAACTATGTGTTTAACCCTCTTTTTTCAAAATATTTTTTTCTTTTGAAGTATTGGATATTCAATTCTTGATTAGCAGGTTATAAAAGAATAAGAGGTGGTTTCTCAAAGGAAATTACCAATCATTTGAAGAGACAAGGACTATATACATGAAATAATTCCCAAATGCTGTTGTCCCACATATACCAGTCTCATTTGCCCCATCCCACATCATGTCTATTCAATTCATGTATTTGTTTCACAAATGTTTACTGAACAACTTCTCTCTCCTGGCCCTGGAATAGGAAGAGCCAAGGAATCTGAAATTTAATGGTCTCTGTATGTGATTCTTAAGTCATAAGTAAGGTTTGAAACTTAGTGCCCTAGAAACTTCTTAAAACTGTTAAGGGGGTAAGACAGCAATGGTGGGTAGGGCACAGCACTGATTCCTGGCTCTGCATTCAGAGATTTGGAGTCAGCAGGTTGGGATGTGGCCACAGCATCTGTTTGTATCCAGCACAGTGTGCATGGTTCCCATGCACAGTTTAGACATGGACCAGACATTGAAAGACATTGTTGTAAAGACTACATATTGTGTTTGTGGTATAACCTAAGATGTTTTCTCACTCAAATTTATCATGGAGGCCGGTGCCGCGGCTCACTAGGCTAATCCTCCACCTTGCGGCATCGGTACCCCGGGTTCTAATCCCGGTCGGGGCGACGGATTCTGTCCCGGTTGCCCCTCTTCCAGGCCAGCTCTCTGCTGTGGCCAGGGAGTGCAGTGGAGGATGGCCCAAGTGCTTGGGCCCTGCACCCCATGGGAGACCAGGATAAGTTCCTGGCTCCTGCCTTCGGATCTGCGTGGTGCGCCGGCCCCAGCGTGCCGGCCGCGGCGGCCATTGAAGGGTGAACCAACGGCAAAGGAAGACCTTTCTCTCTGTCTCTCTCTCTCAGTGTCCACTCTGCCTGTCAAAAAAAAAAAATGTATCATGGAGAAAATTGCTTAGAAGATTGTTTGTCCAAAGGATGGTTTGTAAACATTACTGGTTTATTCTTCCCCCACCCCCTATTAAAAAAAAGTGATGAAAAGTTTAAGTTCTAGAAAAACAGCAAATACATTCCCAGTAATACACAGCAGCATCAAACTAGATTTTGTGCCCCTGCTGCCTCACAGCCTCTAGCAGTCCTTGTTCTCCACCCCTCCTACTGCTGAGAACACCTTTGCCGAGGTGGCTGCACCCTTTGTAAACATTGGTAGTCCATCTTAAAGGAAAATAAGATTAAGTCTGAGGGCTGGAGTTCAGTCACAGCCAGAGACATCTAGTTCCCACGATCAGTATCTTTACCAAAAGGCAAGCACACCAGTTTCTGCCTTTATTATGAGAGCATATACCTGTAATGTACTCACGTGCAAGCTACTACTATTCAGATCTACTGTAGGTAATTACAACATTTACATTCAATATAATAGTAGTTAAAGATTTATGATCTTTGCTCTGCAATTTTTGTTTGCTGTAGTTCATGGAATCTACATCTGCAAGTTATTATCTCAGGCTGGTTCCCAGAATGTGGAAATAACCTTAGTTTTTATAGAGCTGAACAATGATGGAATCTTTTTTTTTTTTTATAGAATTCTATACATATATAACAGTCCTATATAAATATACTATTAGAATAGTTGTTTTGACATCATCAGATTTCCTAAGATGACATTTTTCACTGGTGGAAAATCTTAGAATCCTGAAAATAATGTTTATGGTTTTTTTTTAATATTTATTTATTTGAAAGTCAGAGTTACACAGAGAGAGAAGAGGCAGAGAGAGGGGTCTTCCATCACTGGTTCAGTTCCCAATTGGCCACAGTAGCTGGAGCTGCACTGATCCAAAGCCAGGAGCTTCTTCCAAGTCTCCCATGCAGGGGCAGGGGCCCAAGGACTAGGGCCATCTTCTACTGCTGTCCCAGGCCATAGCAGAGAGTGGGACCAGAAGTGGAGCAGCCGGGACTCTAACCAGCGCCCATATGGGATGCCGGCACTGCAGGCAGCAGCTTTACCTGCTATGCCACAGTGCCAGCCCATTTATGGGTTTTGTTCTACAGGGTAAAATATACCATAGAACATATAGTTAAATAATAATTTTGTTCTTATAACTGTCAGTCTAGATAGAAAGTACACCGCTTGTGGAGTACGAATGAGAGAGGCATCATAGTACTAGGCTGTGCAGATAGGCATTGCATTGGCATTCTGTGCCACCTGCTTTAAAAGCCACGTGTGACCGTGGCTCAGATTGCATACTACAAGACTCCAGGTTCCTTCCCGCCTACCTTCCTTTTTTCCATTCTTTTTTCCCTTGCTTCCTTCCTGCCATTCCTTCTTCCACAGACCACTCTTTGCCAAAAACAGCCATCTTCAACATGCATCTTCTTAATATTTCTGAAATGATACAGATACGGTGATACTCAAAATGTTAGCTACCATAAAATGGTGCAGGTTTTACAGTTTTAGGACTTTGCCTTTCATTCTTCCATGTAGATAGTTTTGGATTGTACTCTCAGATAATTACAGCTCCAAGGAAAACTGTTTTCTAATTTTGTGACTTATATCCTTATATATTGGTCTCTTTTGAATTCTACATTTCTTTTAAAAGTAATATTATACTACTTCATACACTTCTCCCACCCTCAGACTTATTAAAGATGAATTTATTTTTAAAGTCAGTTATTTTATATCATTGTGAATTATGTCCATTCTTAATTTTGAGCCTAGAATTTGATGGAGTTAAAGAAAAATTTAATTAGTTACCAGTTTTTTGTTTGATTCTTCCCTTCCCCCTTCTTTTTGGTAGTGTCGAGATGTGAGAACCAGAGAGGTTGGAATCCAAGAAATTCATCACAAAGTACGGCCATATCAGGTGAGTTTCTCTGTATTATAGAGTTGGGTTCTGGTAGGGTCTTTGCCAAGCCTGGACCCCCACCTTCTTACCAATAGGACTGAGCCCTAGAAGTGAATGTCTAACTCAGAGTAATTGAGGATTAGGTACAGATTTAAAGTCATGACAGCCAAATACAACGGTGACTGAATGCTAGAAGAGCCAGGTTAGTAAAACCAAGTCTGAACATCTTTCCAGATCAGCAGTGTCCAACAGAACTCTGCAGTGTTAGAAGTGTTCCATCATCCGAGCTGTCCGTCTTAAGTAGGCATTAGCCATGCGCTGCTGTTGAGAAATTGAGCAATTGAAATGTGGTGGATAGAAATGAGGAACTGTCATCTTCTGGCTACTTTAGTATGATTCAATTTTAATTAATTCAAATATAAATAGTCATATTCAACTAGTGGCTGCTCGCAAGAACATGGTATAATCTGCCTATCTCTGTGTATATCTGTAAAACTATTGCCTGTTGGTGATAATCAGATGAATAGATTGGTCTTTACCAACCAGGGGTCCTCAGATTTTAGGCAGAATGTCCTAAAGTGTTTATCATAAATTATGAATTAACTATTTTATAATGTCCAGCTGTGTGTCAGATTTCCTGTGGGGTTTTAATGCTGTGGAGCCCCATTCGAACAGCAGGAATAGATCATCTCTGTGTTAGTATTTCTTTTCTTGACATAAATTGTTCAATTGACATTTTTCACACATAGGATCTTTTGAAGGAACAAGTAGACCCAACACACTTTATCATTTTGCCAGATTCTTACATATTTTCATTAGTTATTTAGCAAACATGCCAAGTTAGGATGAAATATAACTGTTGGTCTGAGTTGTTCACCACGTTGTAAGTATACTGTGCCCATTTATAGGATGTATTTGGGAGTAACCTGTAAAAAATATGCAGGTTTCTCTGTATAAACTTAAATTTACTTGTATGTATGCAAAGTACAAGGGCCATTTGTAAAATGAATTGAAGAGTCAAGTCTGTACATTGCTACCACAAAAGCTTTCCCTGGGGCCGGCGCTGTGGTGCAGTGGGTTAACACCCTGGCCTGAAGCACCGGCATCCCATATGGACGCTGGTTCAAGACCCAGCTGCTCCACTTCCAAGCCAGCTCTCTGCTTTGGCCTGGGAAAGCAGTACAAGATGGCCCAAGTCCTTGGGCTCCTGCACCCTCGTGGGAGACCCAGAAGAAGCTCCTGGCTCCTAGCTTTGGATCAGTGCAGCTCCAGCCATTGCAGTCAACTGGGGAGTGAACCAGCGGATAGAAGACCTCTCTTTCTCTCTCTGCCTCTCCTCTCTGTGTAACTCTTTCAAATAAATAAATAAATCTTTATTAAAAAAAAAAAAAGCTTTCCCTAAAAAACCTATTCTCCAGTGATTGAATTTTCTTTTCACTTTTTAAAAAAAAAATATTTATTTATTTGAAAGGTGGAGAGAGAGAGGCAGAGAGAGAAAGAAGTCTTCCATCCCCTGGTTCACTCCCCAAATGGCTACAATAGCCAGGGCTGGACCAGACCAAAGCAGGAGCCTCATCCTGGTCTCCCATGTGGGTGCAGGGTCCCAAGCACTTGAGCCATTTTCCACTGCTTTCCCAGGTGCAATAGCAGGGAGCTGGATTGGAAATGGAGCAGCTGGGACTCAAACCGATACCCATATGGGACGCTGGCTCTGCAGGCAGTGGCTTAATCTGCTACACCATAGCACCAGCCTGTCTTCACATTTGTATCTCATAATTAAGCATACTAATATAAGAGCCCTATAGGATGCCATACTTTCTTAAAATCCCATGAAAGAGTAAATGACCGGATTCACAAATTAATTTTCTAAAAGATTTTACTGGAGGAAATAAGGACTAGGCAATGAAACCACTGGGGCCAGTGCTGTGGCACAGGATGTTACACTGCTACCTGCAGCCCCTGCATCTATTACGGGTGCCAGTTTAAGTCCTGGCTGCTCCGTTTCCCATCCAGTTCCCTACGGAAGATGACTCAAGTGCTTGGGCCCCTGCACCCACCTAGGAGACCCGGATGAAGCCCCTGGTCCAGCCTTGGCCATTTGGGTGGTGAACCAGCAAATGAAAGTGCTCGCTCTTCTCTCTCTCTCTCTCTCTCACTCTCAGAGATTGTTCATCAAGAATCAAAGATTTAAATACGTGGAAGCATTTACAGAGCTGGATATCTGTAAGAACCTCAGGGTTAATGAAGTTCAAATATTTGTAGAATTGTAATGTTGTTTTCCTTTTATAATAGTTCATGAACAAGACATGTACTTTTATTTAATCTTGGTGCGATTTGAGAGTAGACAAGTAAAATGAAACATAATCAGTGGATCATTCTTTATCCCTAACTGTGACTTTTAACCTAAATAAATATATACAATTATAAAAATGAACTTGGTTCTATAATTTTGAAAACCACTTTTTTTTCCCCCATGGCTTTTTGTTAAACAGGTTGAATTGGTGAGGAGAGATTATGTGGCAAACGGTGGCTGGGAAACATTCTTATCATACGAAGACCCAGATCAAGACATTTTGATTGGCCTGCTACGATTACGAAAATGTTCGGAGGAAACCTTCCGTTTTGAATTGGGTGGCGGTGTTTCCATAGTCCGAGAGCTGCACGTGTATGGGAGTGTAGTCCCTGTGAGCAGCCGGGATCCAACGAAATTTCAGCATCAGGTATCCCACGTTCCATTTCTGTTTGACTTATAATTAAGAAGTTACCCAGGCCAGCGCTGCGGCTCACTAGGCTAATCCTCTGCCTTGTAGCGCCGGCACCGGGTTCTAGTCCCGGTCGGGGCGCCAGATTCTGTCCCGGTTGCCCCCTTCCAGGCCAGTTCTCTACTGTGGCCTGGGAGTGCAGTGGAGGATGGCCCAAGTGCTTGGGCCCTTTACCCCATGGGAGACCAGGATAAGTACCTGGCTCCTGCCATCGGATCAGCACAGTGCGCCGGCCGCAGCGGCCATTGGAGGGTGAACCAACGGCAAAGGAAGACTTTTCTCTCTGTCTCTCTCTCTCTCTCTCACTGTCCACTCTGCCTGTCAAAAAAAAAAAAAAAAAAAAGTTGTTACCCAAAGGAGGAAAAGAGAAAAAGAATAGGATGCAGAGGGGCTGAGGGAGACAGAGGAGCAGGAAAGGGGAAAGGGAGCCTAGACCCAAGGGAACCGTGTTTCAGTTGCTCAGAGATGTTTTCTCTCCAGATTGTACCCTTTGTGGAGTGTTAGGGGAGCAGGAGAACAAACTGAGATTCAGTCAAGTGGAACATACCAGAATGAGCCATGTGAATTTACTGTGCTTGAAAGTCAAAGATCATCTAGCAGTTTCATATGGATGGACCAACTTAGGGACTCAAATGAGATGGTGCTGTGAAAGCACTTAGAAAACATTAAAGCACTTAATATAAGTTGTATTATATGTAGTGAAACTCTGCCTTAACCCCCAAAGACCTAAAATTAATAGCTCACTTTTTAAAATTTCAGGAAAATGTTTTAAAACCTCTAATGGTAGAGATAGGGTGAGCCTCAGAATTGATGACTTAGGAATCTTACCTGGTTTCAAAACCCTTTTAGAGGGAGGAGAGTGACTCTAATGAAAGACTGATTGCTCCAGAATTCCATCACCTGGACTTTGCCTAGAACTTACCTAAAAAGAGACAAAAGCTGAGAGAGACTCACCTCTTGCTGTGATGAGATTACATCATCCACAAAATACCTTTTGGTGGAAGGGTATACCTTTTTTACTAGTCTGCTACTGTGGTGTGCTTTTGTTATAACTGAATGGTTTCTTTTTCCTTGCTCCTCTAAATGGGTTTTTGTCTCAGCAGATTTTAACAACTGCTAAGTTACAGTCTTCTTGTTTTCTTAGCCCCTTAATGGACTTCCGTCTGTTCTTGATTCCCCTACTCTCTCCGTGTCTCCTTACAGGGATTTGGCATGCTGCTGATGGAGGAAGCAGAAAGAATAGCTCGAGAGGAACATGGATCTGGGAAAATAGCTGTCATATCAGGTAACGAGGGGAGGCTGAAGTTCATAATTAATTCGCATTTTGAACTTGGTACCACAGTGAAAACGACCTTGCTGCTCTCTTGCCCCTACCTAGGAATATGATGTTGAAAATTGGGCCAGACTGACTGGTGAGGGGCTGTGTTCAAACACAAAGAAAATTCATGAGAGCATTTGGTGAACAGGAGCTTTCAGAGATGTACTCCGTCCCTGAGAGTGGCAGGACCAATCATCCGTATCCTGTCTTCTCACTGCCTGTCACATTGGCCTTCATGGCCACGTCTGTGCTTTGTGCCCAGTAGTTGCTCTGGGGAAGTGGAGCTTGATGTAGGGATCCAAGGGAAAGGTAAACCAATGTAGAGGTTATCACTGTTGTTCAAAAGCATTAGTGTTGTTTAAAGGCAGACGTCTTGTTCCTTAAATGTTGTTCCCAGTGAATTTGTTCTTGGAGAAGAGCTTTCCTTTGTTTGGGAGGGGAGCAGAGGGAAAGGTTTTCCTCAACCCTTTTTAGGATCCCTGGCTGGGTCCAACAATGAAGTCGGGCAAAGATAGATTAACAAGCGGAAAAGCATACAGATTTATTGGGTGCAAATTTTACAGAACATGGGAGCCTTTTTAAGGAAATGAAGACCCAAAGAAATGAATTGAACCTGTGTTTTATTCTGTGTTTGAAGTATGGAAAGTTGTGGAAAAACTAGAATAGGATAAAGGAGTATGAGCTGAGGGTAATAGCTGGGGAGAAACGTAAAGGTTCTGTTCATCCAGATTCCTCTTGCCTGTGTCGTCTTTAGAGACAAAGACGCTCCTTTTGTCCCGGTGTAGGGAGGGCGGCTTTCACCTGAGCGTCTCCTGACCTGTTTCAGAGAACGGGTAGGGAAGAATCCTTCCTGCTGTTTCTCAGATTGCTTTAGCTGAAAATATTTTCTGTGCCAACGCACCATATTTCGGGGAAGTGAGTTTGGTTCCTTACCCCTTTCTTTATAAGGAATAATAAGCTTCCCATTCCTGTCTAGGACCTCAGATAACTGGGGAAGTAGCCAAGAGAAAGAAATTGTGGTGTGAATAGAACAAGAAATGTTGTATACCTATTTCATTCCTACTTTTTAGTACTAGGTCTCTACAGAAATTGCTCTTCCTAGTAGGAAGCTACATAGCATGGTAAAAGACAAGATCAAAATTTAGTTTATTTTCCTTCTAGCATTTGCTTGTTTTGCCATTAGACTGCCACATTCCTAAAGCTGAGAAAATACTCTTTTCTGACAAGTAGTAAGTAGAAATGAAGTTTAAAAAAAATAAGGTGTTGCCAATCAATAAATCAGTTTCCATACCCAGGTTTTAATTATTAAAGTTAGGAAAATATAATGATCTGGGCTTTCTTAATCATTAAGTGCTATTTTGGGTTTTGACATTATCCAGACAGATTGATAGAGCATTTTTTAACATGTCTAGCTTAATATATTTTTTCTGTTATCTTTAGTTTTACAAAGAAGAGTTAACCAAATGAGGCTTGGTACTGACATCTGTAATAAAATATTTGCCTCTCAGCTGTTTAACTTAATGGCTGGCCAGAAGTAGCAGGAAAAGGCCACAGTGACTTGTAACTGCTCATGGTATCACCCAGCACTTCTGTGGTCCCTTGTGCAAGAGTGTTTTCAGTAAAGTACTTGTGAAACTTTAATTTGCTCACAGATCACCTGGAACTCTTGTTAAAATTCAGTCTAGCTCATTAAGACCTGTTGGGGCCTGGGTGCCTACAAGTCTAACAGATTCCCAGGTGATACATATCACTGATTCAGACCACAAGATTTTCATATGCTCTTCCAAATATCTCTTTTCTTCCCAATTATTAAAGTAATGACTTTCTGGCCTTGGCAGTGCTGTACTCCCAAAGTCCAGTCCACAATCACATGATTTGCTGGTGTCTATGGAAACCTAATGAATTTTAAAATTGGAGAGCATCCATAGTCCATCATTGCTTGACATTGTTTCATTTGCCTTCATGATATCTCTCTCTTTTTAGAACTGTTACATGCAGAGAGGGTTCTTAACTTGCCTGAGGTCATACCCAATTGCTCATAAGAGCCTCACTTTCTGCTTTTTATGAGCAGGGTGTCTTTCTAAATGGAAATCAGCATCTGTCCTCTTTCCAGCTTTTTATCATAATCTAAATAATAGCTCAATTTTAGATCATCTGCATGTAGAATTTCTAAAAATAACTAGAGACTTTTACAAAGTAACATATAAGAACCTTTCTGCTTGTCAGCGGGTACAGTAGGCCTACTAGACTTTTATAAAGTTTTGGCCAGTGGTTTCCTTAGGAACAGTCCTAGCATGCCCTGCTGGAACTAGAGTGAATTCTTGAGGAGGAAGCACGCGGCAAGTTCTATGTCCTGTTACTCTGGCCTGGGAGTACCACCGTTCTTCTCCAAAGGGGAGCAGCTGAGGGTCTTGACTTGCTGTTTGACCTAAGCTCTGTTACTCTTCAAATGACAAAACTAAGAACGTTTTCTCTATGAATGCTGTCTGTTACTTCTCCAAGTTAGTAATATGTTGCTCTGTATTTTAAGTTTCTGAATCTGACACTTGAGGTGTCCACTGTCCAGCACTTCAAGGAGAGCAGTTGTGAAGAATTTATAACATGTTTTTTAACATTTTTTTCTTCCATGTTTGCTCGCTCTGACTTTTTTTTTTAACTGAGTACAGTGCTTGTATGTGTATGCACATGTGCTTCTGCTTTGATTGTTTTTTTTGTAAAAAGTCAAACACTTATTCCCTCTGTAATTTGATCCTTAGAATAAGACTCCCTTCATGATAATAGTGGTGTTTGTGGGCTGTCACTAACAGTACTTCATTTGATGTGGTATATAAGAGGAGACTCTGATATGGATGCCGGCAGGTGCCAGGATTCCATTCCCACCCTCCTTGTGATCTAGGATGGTTTTATTTGATCTCCATGGATCTGTAGTACCTTATTAAAAAACAGCTGGGTTAGGTTATCTTTTACAGCACTGTCTAGAATTCTGCCCCTAGAATCTTACCTTCTTTACTTCTCAACATGACCAGTTGTGTTTTACTGGTTACATTTTAAGCAGATTCTTTTCTAATAACATAGTAAAAGACTTCAATTTCATCAGTAATTGATTTCAATCTCATTGTAGGTTGGATGTTTGATGAAAATAATGATGATAAATTTTCTCATTGGTAGTTAATCCTATTCATGATTTGTAGAAGCATATGAATTTTGGTCACAACTGCTGATACCTTATGACCCAAACGTCTCCAGTTCCTTTTCTGACCTTCTACTCAATTCATAATTCCATCCTTGTTCTGGGTCTCTGGGTTTTTGTATGAGTCATACACAGGGCTGTATGACAGTGCTGGCCTAGATGTTTTGTCCTGGCATAACTAGTAGTTTGAGTAAGGGAGAGACAGAGCCATTTATCATCTTGGATACACTGACTATAAGTGTAATGGATTTTTGTAGAACTTTTTTCAAAAATTACATCCTGATTCATTATATTTCCTTTCACCTGTCTAGCAGTTTTTCTGTTACTTAGATTTACAATCTTAGATTCGGCCTCTAGATAATATTATTAGCTACATAATAAATCTGATTTAAATCTCTGGTAAAAAGATTCTTCATTCTTTTTCCCTATTGAAAAAATAGGGTTTTTTTTTTAAATATTTATTTATTTATTTGAAAGTCAGAGTTACACAGAGAGAGGAGAGGCAGAGGCAGAGAGAGCGAGAGAGAGAGAGAGGTCTTCAACGCGATGGTTCACTACCCGGTCGGCCACACGGTTGGAGCTGTGCTGATCCAGGAGCCTCCTCCAGGTCTCCCACATGGGTGCAGGGACCCAAGGACTTGGGCCATCTTCTATTGCTTTCCCAGGCCATAGCAGAGAGCTGGATTGGAAGTGGAGCAGCCAGGTCTTGAACCAGCGCCCATATGGAATGCCGGCACTTCAGGCCAGGGCATTAACCTGCTGCACCACAGCATCAGCCCCAAAAAATAGTTTTTTAAAAGCTGTGTCACCTCAGTGCATTTATTTATTTATTTATTTATTTTTGACAGGCAGAGGGGACAGTGAGAGAGAGAGAGAGACACACAGAGAGAGGTCTTCCATTTCTGTTGGTTCACACCCCAGTGGCCGCTGTGGCTGGAACACCACGCTGATCCAAAGCCAAGAGCCAGGTGCTTCTCCTGGTCTCCCATGCGGGTGCAGGGCCCAAGCACCTGGGCCTTCCTCCACTGCCTTCCCAGGCCACAGCAGAGAGCTGGCCTGGAAGAGGGGCTACCGGGACAGAATCCGGCGCCCCAACCGGGACTAGAACCTGGTGTGCCAGCACCGCAAGGCAGAGGATTAGCCTATTGAACTGCAGCACTGGCTCCTCAGTGCATTTTAAAGTAATATACAATATATTTTACAGCTGATTATCTTTTTTTAAAGGTTTATTTATTTATTTGAAAGGTAGAATTACAGAGAGGCAGAGCGAGAGAGAGAAAGAATATCTTCCACCCACTGGTTCACTCACTAAATGGCCACCACAGCCAGAGCTGGACCAGTCCGGAGCCAGGAGCTTCCTCCATGTCTCCCATGTGGGTGCAGGGGCCGAAGAACTTGGGCCCTCTTCTACTGCTTTCCCAGGCCATAGCAGAGAGCTGGATCAGAAGAGGAGCAGCCAAGATCGAACCGGCACCCATACGGGATGCTGGCACTGCAGGCAGCAACTTTACCTACCACAGTGCTGTCCATTAAGATAATTTTTCTCCCTACTTAGACAACACATTTTTCTCAGCTTGCCATTAATTATTTCAGAGTAAGAAAATGCTTCTTTTTACACATAAAAATATTGGTAAATCAGTGTTATAAGAACAGCCAGTCTATAAAATAATGTGTGGGCAGGAAATAGTAGTTCATTGCTGCTGAATGTCTAAGCAATTAATTAGTCCTGTTAACACCAAGTGTTTTAGTATCTTTTACCAACCTACTCTTGTGTCTT